ACACACACACACACATTGTGAATCAATCAAATCATGCATGCAGGCATGAGGAATTGAAGGATTATGGAGCAGTTCATCCAATTAGCTCGAGCATCCTCCACCAATCTGTTGCCTTCCTACAGTAAAAGTACTATTGATTGAGATGAAAGTGCGCATTGAGAGTGAAATCCAGTGTCGCTGGATTGTAGATGGATGGAGTGGCACTGCTCACTGCACACTGCTCACTGTAGCTTACAAACCTTATTTATTTCATCGTTTGGTTTTCCTGGAGCATGCAGGTTGGAGTTGGCGTGAAGGAGTAAAGCTTATAGGAGAGGAGATTAATCTTCAAGACAAAACACCATGATAAACCACCTGCTTGCACTTTGAAGCGTTGCTCGTCTGAGTATTGTTTATTTCCTCTCATGGTTAGTGTCACCTTGCTTTTAAGCATATTTATGGATTCTATACTTTGACCCCCATTATACTATACTACACTACACCAAACTACATTATACTATACTATGCTCTCATTGCTGTTTTTGCACTATTACAAAGCTGATGAATACATTTAAACGCTCTTACCCTGTGATATCCAGAGACTTGCAGACTGTAACAGCATGTAGGGAAGCTATTCATTTTCTAACAAACTACCCAGGTGATTTTAATAAAATGGATAGCCGGCAGGGCAACAGAATGTAATTATCCCACCACATGCTGTGATTGTTCCCTGAATAGGGTAAAAACCTTTTCTGCTAAAGGACCCATGGGTCTCTTACACTCTCCCCTCATCTGCTAATCAATTATTGACTCACGCCACACACGAATAATAGCTTCTGTCATGACGAGTCATTTAATTCTTTCAAACAAGTCTGTTCAAGTGAATCGAATGACCATGAATGAGTCTTTTGATTCACCGTTCAGGCATGGATCTACAAATATTGATATACATATATACACTCAGAAAAAGACTTAAAATGCTCAAAGGTGTGTTTCCTTGTGGCTTGTTGGATATTTCACCTGGAAATATTCAGTAACAAGAGTTCAATAACAAGAGTGCGCAGAGTTTTTTTCCCCCCATTGATCGTTGCAGCCGAAAAAGCTTGATTTTGCGGCAGCTTTTTTCAATATATGCAGTTTTTTTCTTTCTTTTTTTTTATCGTAAAATTGCATGATCCAGTTTGTAATATGGATTCAGTCTAAATATTAAATATTAAAAAGTAAATAAGATTTTTTGAATAAAAAAAAGGCTAAAACAGTATGCCTAAAATTTTAATAATAATTAAAATATATGTAAAGGAGTATAATGGAACATGTAATGCTGAAGACAAATTCAGAAAATATTATTTCTGAACATTTACGCATGACAGAAAGGGGTAAGTATAAGGCGTTCACAGGAGTCTGTCACAAAAACACTTCTTTTCTCTTAATTTTTTTTTTGTTATTATTATTTTACTTGAATATATTTTTGTTTTATACAGAAGTTTAATAAAGACTGAGAATGACAAAATAGTAGAGAGCTACAGAAGATCACATTAATTTACAGTAATGCTCTCAAGTGATTTGGAGGTGATTTGCTTCTCATATTTAAAAAAGACCCTTAAAATGACAGTCCATAAATGTGGACATCATGCATGAAACGGTAAAGGTACATAACTGGACAGCCATTAACTTTTATGGTAAAGCTTTGAAGGTACACTACATGCATTTACTAGGTAAAATATAACTCAAACCCTTAACCACTGAAACATTACAACTAGTTCGAACTAGCATGCACTGATATACACTTTTACAAGTGAATTTGCACACACTGAATGATTGGAATGAATGAGTGCAAGCTAGTTGAGCTACTTGTGATGGTTCAGTGGTTGAGACATTGAGTTACAGGTCAGAAAGTTGTGTGGTCAAATCCCAGCGCTGACAATCTGCCATGGTTGGATTCTTGAACAAGGCCCTTAACCCTCAGCTCAGTTGTATCCTTTAAAAGTATGATTTCTTTAAAAGCATCAGCCAAATGAGCAAATATACTGGGTTATGTGTTATGTTATAATACGTAAGATATTACAGTATTTCGCTGTAAATATGTTTACAGTTATTTACTCTATTTTTTTCACAGTACTTGCCAGTAAATTAGGCTACTGTAAAATTTAAAGTCATTTGTTTTTACAGTAAGACCACATATTAAATTCATAATCCAGTTTCACTGTACCACATTGCAGGTGATTACAGGTCAGGCATAACACTGTCTGAAGTAATATTTAAAAAGAAGCAAATTGATGTTGTACCTATTTAAATTTATTTGTGTTAAAAAATTCTAAAAGCTACTACCTACCAGTCACTAAACTGACCCTCGGTGAATTGATATTCACAGGTGTTCCTAAGACAACTGGAAATGGTTATTAGCTGAATTACCTGAATAACCTGACAACAAGGGTAAAGGCAAGTAGTTATCTTATATCTTATCAGAATACTGTGGAGAACATATTAAACACTAACCGAAATTATTCTGAGAGCATGCCATAACATGGCCAAACATCTGTGGTTAAATGTTAAAAATCAAACAATACAGTTATCACAAAAAACCTCCTTTAGCAGCGATAATTGCGGCATAGTCTTTATTCCGGACAAACCGTGTGTGTTTTCTGGCATTTCTTTCAGAGATGTACTGCACTGTGTGTCATTAGACCTCCCTGAGGTTTGTGGAGATTATTCGACACCTTACTTGAACTTTCGATCCGACTCCTCCCTGAGCGTCTTGATTGGGTTAGGACCGGGTGACTGAGCAAGCCATTCCATTACAGACAGCTCTCCTCCAAATCTCTTTTACATCTACTACACATTCTGAGTTGTGTTTTAGGGTCACCAAGGTTGAACATTATTCAAAAGTTCAAAAATGCAAGCAGTCCCAAACTTTTCATAGATGTTTATACATCAGTGACTTAAATGTGATTGTTAAACTGTCACTGTTCAGTGAGCAGTTTTGTGTTTGAGCAATGTAGTGTTTTAAAATTCTTCGGTAATTGTTGTAATTATAGTAGTGATATGGAGGAGTTTAGAACAAGATGTCTCCGATTGTCCAGGTTTACATCCTGTTTTGTTTCCCCTATTATATATGAGTGCATCGTTATATTATATTTAAACTGTAGTTCTGGTGTTGTTTGTTGAGCTGTACCGTGTAACTAACTCTCACTCTCAAGTCCTTCCACCAGGTTCAGACCTCGGCCTGGTTTATGCAGTGGATATAAAAATTCTACACACCTCTGTTAAAATAGGTTTTTGTGACATAAAATGTTGGGTGCACACCCTTTTATAGCAGGGCATGTGATAGTGCTCAGAATGAACCAATCAGATTAAAACTCCCAAATAAAGAGTAGCTGTTCCTGCAGGATTTTCTTTACATTTGAAAAGCATGTATGGGATCGTATTCAAAAGGTATCAATCAGGAGAGGGGTACAAAAGAATTTCCAAAACATTGGATGTACCATGGAACACTGTGAAGGTCATCATCATTAACAAGAAAGAGAAAACTTTATCAGGAAGGCTGCCAAGAGAGCTACAGCAACACTACATAATATTAAAGTACTGGTTACTCCCTGCAAGTGACAACAATTGATCATATTCTTCACATGTCTGGGCTATGAGGTAGGGTGACTAGATGGTAGCTCTTTTTCACCTGCCTCCCTTTTCAACCTTCTAGCAGACAAGTGCAAGATGTTGGTAGACGCTTACTCAAAAAGTCTGAGTGCTGTATTACAAGCAAAGGTTGCAAAGTAAGAATGTATTAGTTAAGGTGCATGCACCAGTTTATTGTACTTTTTTTCTTACCTTAAAACATTTTTATTTGTTTAACACTTGATTTTTTGTTGTTATATCACATTCAAGGTGGAACAAGATTGAATTATTTATCTTGGTGGAATGTTTTACATCACAAAAACCGGCAATTTTAGCAGGGGTGTATAGACTTTTTTATATCCACTTTATACCTGCATCTGGGTATCTACAAGGTCTGAAGGGCATTGTGCAATAGAGGTCGACAGATTAATCGCCACTGATAACCGATTGCTGGAGCTATCAGTTATCGGCAAAAGTCCACACTAAGTTTTTCCCGGATGCGTCCGTTGCGGGAGCGGCTGAGAAGTGTCCGCTGCCATTATACAGTCTGAGAGTGGCCTCTAGTGGTGAGATAAAAACTATCACTGACAAATTTTGTGATGCTATTTGATGTGTTTTTTTTTATTATTATTCATGTTGGATGTCTCTATTTTTATTTATTTGGAGTGTTACTTTTTGGTTCAGTTTGGATATATATCCTTTATTTACTTTGATATTTATTAACAGTCAATATATATTAATATTTATAAATATTTATTTTATTTAAAAAAATGTATGGTACATTTTCATGGTACAGTAAGTACTGTTTATTTTTGTAATAAAGTTCAGCAATATTTTACTTTGTTATATTTTCATTCAGTATCAGTTTTAAAAACTATTGGTTCATTGATCGGTTATCAGCAGGCACTGTGCAACTTAGTTATCGGTATCTGTAACATCCACTATTGGTCGACCTTTATTGTGCACTCGTGAATCTGCTATCATACTTGCTTGTAAGGTGAATATGGCAATTAGGAATCCTGAAATCCTGAAAGTCCTGAGAGATTCATGTCAAAGCAGAAAGAATACAGAAGAATCAGATGTGGATGACACTGATATAACATTGAGAATCACTACTTACCACCAGTTTCTACACCACAGATTCTGTGCTATGAGGTATTTAATGGGGATTTACTCCACAGAATGACCCAAAGATGCGTATGGATATTGCATATTAAAATTAACAAGGTGTCAACCTGAATCACGGTCGATTTCAGTCCTTATTTTACTAGTAATGCAATTGATGAATTAAATATTATTAAGCTTCAGCCATGCACACCAAAACTTCACCTCAGCCAAATAAGTCAATATGCTGCAGGCTTGCAATCCCAGACGAATACATTTTCGAATAAATGTTAACCATCTCTGGTTCCCTGGTGGAATAGTGGCTAGCATGCGCTGCTCACACCGACGTGGCTTGGGTTCTATTCCTGGTCAGGTAACCGATCTCAGCCACTAGTGGGTTGCATGAGCCAGTGCATGCTCAGTGCTGGTAACATGCTTGGAAAATGGGGAAGGGAATTGTGTCAGGAAGGGCATCCAGCGTAATACACCATATCCATGCTGTAGAACAAAAGAACACCATAACCAGTCTGAATCATGCTGGTGGCATGCATCTCTTCAACTAGGTCTGGGGCTTTAGTCAAGATAGAGTGAATTATGGATTGCTCCAAATACCAATCTGTGTTGGAACAAAAACTGCAGGCATCTCTTAGTCAACTAAAGATGAAGACAAAAATGCACCTTCTAGTCACTAGGGTGGGGTCGGGGGTGGGTTTAAAATATAGTAAATATTTACTAATAGTGTGCCCATGCTGATAAGTGGAGCTGCAGCTCTCTCTCTCTCTCTCTCTCTCTCTCTCATGCACATTAGCACCTTCTCTCTGTTGTGCACATTAGCACTTTCCAGATGCTTGGTGATCATTATGAGGATTTGCAATGAGAATAAGTAATTTTATTACATGGAAAAGCAGTCAGTGTTTTCTGTGAGTGTGAGACCACAAGGGATGAAGGGAAATTTGTGAAAGACAACCAGTAACACAGCAGTGTTTTTCCCACCACTTTGAAAAAAGTATATTTACATATTTACACAGTCGTTTTTTTTTTTGTATGACTGATGAATGGCGAACAACAAATGGCTATAAACAATAAACAATGCTCATATTTTTAGCATAGTGTCTTAGACACTGTTAACAAGAGGACTGGAGCAGTATAGGAAACTTACTGGGATTGCACCTGACGTTAAGCCTCTTACTGTCACCTTAGATTAGGCGTCTTAAACATACTTGAAAATACGTACAGGTTCTAGAGGTGAGACTACAGGTGACTACTCTCTCAAAGAAATACGCTTTCACACAGTCACGTAAACAAGGAGTTTTGTGCAAGTCGTGTTTAAAAACTTGACTGATTGAACTGAATTTTAGAAGGTTCTTGTGTGATTCAACACTTGAATGGGTTCTAAATAAGAAGCAAGCTGTATTTTTTTTTTTAATCAGATGAACACATTTATTTATTTATTTTTAAATATTCATATCATTTACAAATGGGTAATTTGGAAAGCTGTTTTTCCGTCAAAAAGCCATTTTTCCGTCAAAAAGCCGTCAAATGTGTAAACAGTTTTGTTTACACATTTGCATGATAAAATTCCATGAAGCAAAAGATGATAGTTAATCTTATCATGCTGAGCTTCAACATCAAAACAGCCCGAACACAAACAGTTAAAAGAGCACAAGGAAATAAAGCCTAAAGTCAGTGGAAAGGACTAACAGCATAAACGTAATGATGAAGTCAGAATGAAGGAGCTAGTGTCCATTCATGCCAGTGACAATTTGTTTTATGAATGGTGCAACCCTGTATGCATCAAGACTACACAAGTCAATCTGTAGCAGACACTGAGAAAACTAAGGATGAACATTGCCTCTGTGCATGTTTTAAAAATAAAAAATTTAAAAACCGAAGAGAGCATGTCGTTGAAAAATACAATGATGTAGCATGTAATATTGATGTGCAGGATAGGAACTACTGCTCCTTCCACCATCTGCCTCTGTCCGCCAGTCTGTGTGTGTGTGTCAGAGAGACAGAGTGAGAGACAGACTGAGAGAGAGAGAGAGAGAGAGAGAAAACACATGGCATAAGCAAAGAGAAGACACAGGTGTTAAACAAACTCAAAATTAAAACCGATTTGAAATGTGAGATGCTACGTTTCAACAGAAGTGATGCTTTGTTCCTCAATTAATGCTTTGAAATGTGTAATACTAATATATTATCAAACCTAAGCATTACACAATTTGTGTATGCTAAAAGAGCAGTCTTTTTCTCACCAATAAAATGAATTATGAGCCAACTGACATGTGAACCTGGAATGATCTGCAATAATTATATCTGTTAGGGTCGACACAGAAAACTTCAGGAGAAAATGGTCAACATGGTTCTTTCAGATTTTGTCCAAAAGAGAAAAGGTTGACAGATTTTGACCCAAAATATCTTAAATAGGCTCAATGTTAACACTTCAAATAATGTTAATATTGATGATCATTTGAAACGGATTAAAGATGCAGTTTTTTCATTTCTTTTTTTGACTTTTTTTCTACTGGGCTCTCTTATGCTCTTCTGCTCAACAGTGCACCGTATCAACAGAAAAAATGTCATCTGAACATTAGACCACGATTTATAAAAGGAGCATATCAAAATATTATAGAAAAACCACCATCCAGCTGAGTTTTAACGACTTACATAGTACCGAACTACACAGCTCATACTATTACACAGTTTTCTACTCTAGTTAAAACTGGTGGAAATGGTAGTGTTTCTGTCTTTTCTTAAGGCTTCTTTGGGATTTATTCAGGCTAGTGGAGTAAAAATAAATATAACATTTGACCATATTGTGTCTGAAACGTGAACAGTTGACACTGTGAAAAGTTCACGCAAGAATATAGTTGTAAACATTGAAAGTTATTGTTGTAAATGTGACACAGAGGGGGAATGCTTACCCTCAAATCTAATTAACTACATTTTCCGGTAATGATGTGATAGTGTTGACACATCAGTTGTAATTAGTTATAAAACTTTTTCAAGGATAGAACAAGTGTAGCTAAATGTCATCTATTGTTCACTAAATTCTTTCCATAGCGCAGTGGCACAGATCTGAGTCACTACCTCAGTGTGAACATGAATTATAAGAATTTGTGTTTTTTCGACAATCCAGCTCCATATCCATCATGCTTTAAATTTTTTTTTTAAATAATTATCCCAGCTCTTGCATTGTTCTTAGGTTTAATATCTCATGTAATTTTTTGTATGTTATATATATATATATATAAAACAGTTACTTTAAGTGATGCAGCTTTAATCAATGCCGTGCACAGTGTGCAGCAAATAAACTGCTCTGTTCAGTGAACTTTGCAAAGATCACATTGCTCACAAAGAGGAAAAAAGTGAAGCTGGATGTTTAAAAGGTCAGATTAGTCATATGAAACGAGTTGCGATCAGCATTTTTTTTTTGTAATCCAAGTTATTTCTGTTAAGCTTACTAAACCACAGTACAGTTATCTGCTCTTTGCTCAAATGTGTGCTTTCACCTCTGGAGTTGGGGGTTGGAATCCTGCCTTTGCCCTGTGCCCGTGGGTTCTGCCTCTACCCTGTGTTTCCTCCGGGTTCTCCAGTTTCCTCCCCAAGATCATGTGCTCTAGGTTGATTGGCATTTCTAAATTGTCTAAATAGTGTGTATGAATGTGTGTGCGTTTTTGCCCTGCTATGGGTTGACACCCCAACCAGGGTGTCCCCTGCCTTGTGCGATGAGTTCTATGGGCTATGTTCCAGGCTCCCCCGTGACCCTGTATAGGTTAAGTGACATGGAAAATGGATGAATGGAATTATATACTCTATCAAAATTGCAGTAGGTCAGAAGTTTATATACACCAAGTCGACTGTCTCTTTAAACAGTCTGGAAGATCCTGGAAATTAATGTAATAACGTTTAGAAGCTTCTGATTGGCCAATTTTCATAATTAGGAGTTAACTGGATATGCGCCCATGGTTGGAATAGGGCTTTCTTTAGAGCAAGTGCCTTTTTGCCTTTGCTTCCATGGGAGAGTCCAAGCAACTCTGTCAAGTCCACAAAAAAAAAAATTATGGACCTCCACAAGTCTGGTTCCTCTTTAGGAGCAGTTTCCAAGCAACTTGAATGCTCTATATTCATCTGTACCAATAACTGTATGCAATTATAAAAAAAAAAATCTTGGGACCACACAGACTCTGCATTGGTCAGGAAAAAGGCACAATTTAACTCCCAGGGATGAATAAACTATGGTCTGAAAGTGCCAATTGAACCCCAAGGCAACAAGAAGGAACTAATGAAAGAGTTTGAGCATCAGGTACAAAGGTATGTACTGTTAATCACTGTTAAATCCTACATCGGCATGGTCAAAAAGCTGCCACATCAGGATGAAATATTACATCTACTATAAGACCAGCATAAAAAAGCCAGACTGAAGTTCAGGTGCTCACTGGCATAATGATCATTGACATGTATGGAGGAAAAAGGCTGAGGCTTTTAATCCAAAGAAGCCCTGGATAATGGCAGCATCACATTATGGGGTGTTTTGCTGGAATAAACCAATTTAACAATTTTTTACCAATTTAACTAGGCCTATCCTTAGACTTAAACTTATAGATATAGATATTAGTTATAGATATTACCTTAATTCATTGATTATTAGTTTTACCATTAATACCAAAAGTAAATACTATAAATACCTTGCTTGTGAAAAGTGCTATATAAATAGTTTTATTATTATTATTATTTGTTCATACCATGGGTGGAGACGGAGACAGTCGCGGGTGACAGGAATCAAGGCAGAATAATCCAAAGGGGACAGACAAAGTTCGTGGTTGATAAACAGGCGAGGGTCAGGTGATCGGTCAAACAAAGAAAAGGAGGCAAGGCAGAACTCGAAGTCAGGGACAGAAAAACTGGTCAAAAGGTAGCTTAGTCAATGTACGAGAAACGGCTTAGAGAATGACAGAGAAACGAGTCAACTGAACATTACTTCACAAAGTCTCCTCTCTTCCAAAGTTTATCTTCTACTGTGGTGTGATTGTGTCTGTAATGGCTTGCAGGTGTGTGCTTAGAACTCTGGGGAGGGTGAGCGCATGCGTGAGTGGGAGGTGTCGTTTTCAGCGGCCATGCCTCCTGGGAAATTGAGTCTTGGCAGGGCTGAGATATGACAGAACCCCCCTCCCAAAGGGCTCACTCCGGGAGCCGACGATCTCCTGGGCCTCCCCCGGGGTCGTGGACCCGGAAGATTAGTTGAGTTGCATGAATGATGAGCAGCAGATCTAATATGTCCTGTTTCGGGACCCAACACTGCTCCTCTGGTCCGTAGCCTACCCACTGGACCAAGTATTCAAGCTGGCCACTCCTGCGCCTAGAATTTAGGATGTTT